AAATATGATTTCTGCTGCAAGTGAACTGAATTGTATAAGCTTAGCATATACTAAACTACCTATAAACCTGCATGTTATTGTCACTGTTTTTTAAAAAAAAAAAATAAAAATGCAAAAAACTATTTTTTCCATATGCACTGAGCAAATCAATCATTTAATTGATTTACCAAGCTATTTTGTAATATTCCATTCAATTAGCCACAGATTAGTATTCAGCAGAAACGAATTATTTAGAAAACAAACTCAAATGAATAAAACTGCAGAAAAACAATTGGCATCTTGGCATCCATCACCGGAAGTGTAGCATCTTCACCCTGATCTAATTCCAGCAGTGATTTATTAACTAGATCAGCCCACGCATGACTTGAGTTATATCCTGCTGAGTTGTGTTTTGCTTTCAAGTCAGGTGATTAAAATGTTGGAGAAGTTCATCTCCTCCCTCGCGAACATCTGCTGAATCAGAATTCAAAGGAACGTTGCGAGTTCAATACAGTGAACTCTCAATTTCCACAGAAAATAACATTGACTTATTGACTTTATTTGTTAAAGCAGCAGTGCATCGAAGCAGTGATATAAACATTAAAATACCCACTTCGAAAATAGAAATTTTACAAAGCTTTATCGCTCAAATAACATTAATGTAAGTTCTTTAACAAACATTTTAGCAAATTTTTGCTTTTACATTTGCCCGTGTAGTACTGTATTACAACTTGCATTGACTCTGAAGCATTCCAAACATTACATAATGTGTGTTAATGACTTATTCTTGAGAGCTAATATAAATAGTTTTGAGTTTTATTCTCAGTGGGTGATGTAATACATGTAGGAGTGCGGGATTTTATTCTCTTTAACTTTTAACGTAACTCCGCGATTGACCCTGCATGATTCTCATGTGCTTTTTTGTCGTCTTGACGACCTGTACTTATTTTGATTAGGTACAAAAAGAAAACATGGGGTGGATCAGAGGCTATCTGATCTGAATGAATGAGACGCAGCTGCTTTCGGGAGGAGATTTGGTTGAATCCTCCAGTGTGGGGTTTGTAATGTTGTAAGATGCTGGCATGGGCATCTGGATGGCAAGGGAGGCGTGTCCTCAAGGAATGTGGGGTATTTTTTTGTGTAAACTGAACTTAGCTAAATTCTTTGCTCTAAGATGCCACGGAGTGCTCTTATGACCACAAAGACTGTTTTAGGATGCTGCTGAAGTTTGACTGACCATACTATTACAGTGCAAGCTGCAAGGCTACAGACCTTAGTGTTTTGGTTTAAGGATATGGTGTCGTCTATGGACACTGGAATTATGGGATGGAGCTCCATGGACAACGTTCTGGCATTGTTTTGGCAACTACTGCACTTCTTTCAGGTAATAATTTATTCAAACTGTTATTGGATAGCATCATCTTCAAGTTAAGGAAAATGCATCTGCTGTAAATTACAGAAAGATATATGGCTTTCTGAGAGTTAAAGAGTTGCTGTTTGTGTTAGAAACGTTCTAAGCTGTAATAGTTTTTTAGAAAACTTGAACATGAAATCAAAATTGGCCCTGTTTGCTTTCTTAATAAATGTTCCTGTGCCATTATTCATTAATGCATGTTATTCCAAAGAGAAGATGTTTGTCTTTGCAATCTTTTATCACAATCTAATAACTTGCTTCGCATCTGAAATGCCTTTCCTTTTCGGCTGACGTCATCTAGGCCACAAATAATGTTAATTATTTGCCAATTATTTTGGTCATTGTTTTAAGCAATGCAGCCTAATTCTAGGCTGAAAAAGTGGCAAATAACAGTAATGTAATAATACTTTTTATAACTGGGATGCAAGTCCCTTTTCCATTTTTATCATCGAAATGCGTCACTCAGAAATGCAATACATGCAGAAGTTGTTTGCGAACATCATTTCATGTTGACCTTAAGGATAGCAGTCATATGAAATTAGTAATATTAAAGCTTGATATAAAAAGCTTGATCTGCCCTCAACCCTATGGATTTTTCTTTCCTCTTGTTGTCCTGCAGGCTTTCAGCCTTCCATGTTCCAGAAGTCCATCCTCTGTCCATGTGCAGGTGGCGTTTCAGTGTTTTCCATCTCTGACAGATCATTTTTACACAATTTTATTGGGAAACAAGGTGCGAAGCAAACACCATCCCTCTTACATGCTCACACACTCTTAAAATTAAAGGTTCTTTACTGGCATTGATGGTCCCGTGAAGAATTTTTAACATCTGTGGAACCTTTCCATTGGACAAATGTTTTATTTAAAGTTTCCATTGGCCAAAAAAAGGTTCTTTAGATCAGTGGTTCCCAACCCTGGTCCTGGAGGCACCCCAACACTGCATGTTTTGCATGTCTCCTTAATCAAACACACCTGATTCAGGTCATCAGCTCATTAGTAGAAACTACAAGACCTGAAATTGGTGTGTCAGAGAAAGGAGACATGCAAAATGTGCAGTGTTGGGGTGCCTCCAGGACCAGGGTTGGGAACCACTGCTTTAGATTATCAAAATGTTCTTCACACTAAGGAAAATGGTTCTTTTAAGAAATTTCCCTGAAAGATTCTTTGGGGAACCCAGAATGGTTCTTCTATGTTATCTCTGTGAAAACACCCTTTTGGAACCTTTACTTTTAAGAGTGTGCATTGATAATATGTTTGATTAATTGAGCCTCTCCCCCTCTGTCAGCTGTTGAGCAGTACTACAGTGTGTGAAGATGTGTATGAGTGTGTGATGGAGTTCAGAGCACCACAAGTGTCTAAGAAGCTGGAATTCAGTCTGCAATCATACAGTGACACAGAACTACTGGATGCCAAGACTTTCCACCTTGGTAACGCTGAAGACAGAAGCTCAAACTACACAAATGCACATATTGTTTTGTTTAATTAAGTATAATTATATTCTTTGTTATTGAGATTCTGACTGTGTTTTAATAATCTTTTTGCTCTGTTATTGTTAGTTCCTCTCATGACATCCTCTTTACGCTTGGATGTCTCATCTACGACTGCCGTGTTCAGCTGGCCTACATTAGATGATGGAGATGTCTTGGATGTGTGTTTGGATGAGCAGTGTTGGGTTGCTTCCCATTTTCAGCCATTCCACCAGGTGACAGGCTTACAGCCTGGACATCCTTACAATGTCAGTGTGGCAAAGAAAACATTCGTCCCTCATCTCCAAGTTAATGTTACACAAAGCTTGCAGCTGGCCATAAAGTCAGGTATGTGCACAAACACATATGCTGAATAGTGTTGTTTTGTGTTGAGTTGTTTATGTTCCTCTCAAGTTGCTTTGAATAAAAGCATCTGCTAAATATGTAAATGTCTCAAAAGTAAAGTTAAGTCGAACCAAAAAGGCTTTTATTGGGCTTGGTGCCATAGGAGAAGCTTTTAAAGTTCCTCAAATAAATGTTTATTCTCCAATTATTTAGAAAATTACAACATTTATGAGATTTGAGAATTTTAGTCAATAACAACTTAATTTCAATCTATTTCTCACACAAAAACAATTGTATGAATTTAGAAGACTTGGAATATAGTGCATATGGACTACTTTTATGGTGCAGCTTTGTAAGTTTTTTGAGAATGTAATTCTATGTATCACAATAAAGACACATGGACACGCTGACAGGGTCTAAAACTAATTCTAAAACTATTAAAAATAATTTGTATTAACTGAAATTCATTTAAAATCAAATTAAATATAAATATTAGATGGAAACACTTAAACGGAAAACTGAAAATTAGAAATGCCTGCACTTAACAAAAATAAGTTGAAGTACAAAAATGACTAAAACTGAAATAAACAATAAATAAAGCGAAATAGAAATACTGAAACAAAACCAATAAAAATGACAAAAGCACATAACAATATTATTAAAAGTTAAACTAACATTAAAACTGAAAATATAATAAATTAAAGCTATAAATCAAAATATTAATAAAATAAAAAGTTATGTTTTTGTCTTTTTTTTGACAATATAAATCATCATTCACTTTTGTTGTATGAAAAAGTGTAGCTTGGAGATCTGCTTTTGTGTAATCTCCTTTTATTCTCCTAAAAAAATTTTGAAAAAATCTTTCTGATTTAGAATGACAAACGCTTCAAGAAGATGAAAACGTGTGTGTATAGTTTAAGAACACTGATGTTGTGACTTCCTCCTGCAGGTCAGTGTCCCGTTGGCTGGCTTGCTGGATGGAGCTGTTATAAGGTGAGCCCAAGGTTCATGTCATGGTCTGGAGCAAAGCAAGCGTGTGAAAGATCAACCCCAGGGTCACATCTGGCCAACATAAAGACAGATTCAGAGTTTCTGTCCATCATATCCTTCTTAGAGTCCTATAACCACCTTCTGCTGTTGTGGACCGCTTTGAATGATCGTGAGGTACATGGCAAACACACAGACACTGTTTGAATTATTTTTTGTTGCATACTGAAACTTTAAAAAAAAGAGTATGCAGTATATAGTATACTAGTATTCCATTCAGTGTTTCTAATATCCACAGACAGAAGGTGACTTCCGCTGGTTTGATGGCTCTACCTACAACTTAAATATTGAGATGACATCATCGCTTGCACCCAATCAAACGGGCTGTGTTGCAATGCAGAAGAATGCGACTGGAGCAGGATACTTCTTCACTGCTTTCCTGTGTTACCTGCAGCTTCCCTACATATGTCAAGAAGAGTGTGAGTGAAGAAGAGAGATACAGAGTGTGGTTACTTTCACTGCGATAAGGGGGATTTGATTTACACAAGCAGGACATGTTCCTCGATCAACATCCACTGTTGTTCCTGGAAAAAGAGGTTGGGTTGAAGTCAGGATTGATTGTGTTGATAGGAATGTTGTTCCTGGACCAACAAAGCATGTTGATCCAGGAATATGTCCTGTTTTGATAAATCATAATGTTGGATAATAAGCATTGCTTGGTCAGGACTGAGCATTTTCAGAGAAATGGCCTGAGGAAAACTGTATTGCTCAGAGGTTAATCTTTTATCGCTTTGTTTCTGTCCTATCCTTCTTAGAGTCCTATAACCACCTTCTGCTGTTGTGGACCGCTTTGAATGATCGTGAGGTACATGGCAAACACACAGACACTGTTTGAATTATTTTTTGTTGCATACTGAAACTTTTAAAAAATAGTATGCAGTATATAGTATACTAGTATTCCATTCAGTGTTTCTAATATCCACAGACAGAAGGTGACTTCCGCTGGTTTGATGGCTCTACCTACAACTTAAATATTGAAATGACATCATCGCTTGCACCCAATCAAACGGGCTGTGTTGCAATGCAGAAGAATGCGACTGGAGCAGGATACTTCTTCACTGCTTTCCTGTGTTACCTGCAGCTTCCCTACATATGTCAAGAAGAGTGTGAGTGAAGAAGAGAGATACAGAGTGTGGTTACTTTCACTGCGATAAGGGGGATTTGATTTACACAAGCAGGACATGTTCCTCGATCAACATCCACTGTTGTTCCTGGAAAAAGAGGTTGGGTTGAAGTCAGGATTGATTGTGTTGATAGGAATGTTGTTCCTGGACCAACAAAGCATGTTGATCCAGGAATATGTCCTGTTTTGATAAATCATAATGTTGGATAATAAGCATTGCTTGGTCAGGACTGAGCATTTTCAGAGAAATGGCCTGAGGAAAACTGTATTGCTCAGAGGTTAATCTTTTATCGCTTTTGGAGTTTTCAAAGTATAAAGTTTGTCTCTGATGTTTCTCTTAAACGTAATTAGCAAAAATGAAAGTAGACTCAAATGAGACAAATGTTGACCCAATAAAAATATAGAGGCATAAAACTATAAAAACATTAATTGAAATAAAGCTTATATAAAATAAAATATAAATATTACATGAAAAAAAAAACTTAAAAGAAAATTAGAAATGAGCTGAAATAAGTTAAGTACTAAAATGAAATAAAAATAAAGCTAAATTAATATAAATTACAAACAAAAAACAAGAACTAAAAATTATAAAAGCACATAATAAAATTACTAAAACTTAAACTGTGAAAGGTAATTCAAAGTATTAATAAAATAAAAATTCAATGAAATTACAGTGATGTAAATAGCATAGCTCAGATAATTTGATTTTACAAGATTTGGATGAGAAATTTTTGATTGTAGGCTTTGGTATCTTGACAAATCTGAGCATATTTTGAGACTGTTGAGATCTTTTCTGAAATTCTAGAAAATATACATGAGATTACTGGGATCATTTTCTCTGGAGACTAAAAGGGATGAAAAATTGTCATCATTTACTGACCCTCATGTTATTCCAAACCTGTATGAATTTCTTTATTCTTTTGAACATAGAAGAAGATATTTTGAAGAACAGTGGTAACCAAACAGTTGCTGGTAGCCACTGACTTCCATAGTATTTTTGAGAAAAAATTGAGAAGCAGCAGGCCAAAAGGGCACCTTCAGCCCATCTCTGAGTCTGACTTTTGCAGCATGGACTGCTGGGTAATAGTACACTGTGATGTCTGCACCAAAGGGGCCACTTGTAAGGACACTTCTAAAAATTAAAATCACACATGGTTTTGTGTGCTTTCACAGATCACCACAAGACCACCGGTCCACATGAAATGTGCCATTTGGAGGCTCTTAGTCTCCATTTTCTCTCTATTTATTTGAATTGCTGTCTAACAGAAATATTTGAGATCTTAAGATTTCATTTGAGAGTTTCTTTTAGATTAACTGTGTCTCTGTTGCAGTATTGCAGAGCAGCAGTAAATTGCTGGATCTGGAGAGTGTGTGCGAGACTGAAGCAGCATTTATCTGGTCGAATGAATCTCACCTGGACTTATCTGCTGGTTTTACTCTTGCTCTACAATCAGAAGATGAATCAAAGGATGAAACCGTCTCACATATTGCACTCACAAACACTCAAGACAGAGTGAGAGTTCAAGATCTCTCTCCTGGCCACATCTATCATTTCTCACTGGTTCTTACGCGCCCCAGGGGGGCGTCTCAGACACTTGGACCTATTTTTATTGTCGATACAAGTAAGTCTCTATATCTATAGAACAAACACACATTAAAGGGGTCATATGATGTTGCTAAAAAGAACATTATTTGGTGTATTTGGTGTAATGAAATGTGTTTATGCGGTTTAAGGTTTCTCCTCTATGCCCCTCCTTTCTGACACGCGTTGATTTTTACAAAGCTCATCGTTCTGAAAAGCGAGATGTGCTTGGCGGCAGCAACAATACTACAGCGAGAATAAAAGTTATGCTTTCTTTCTTTGCGTGAACATTTGGGCGGTGTTATGCAAATCTTCCCACATAGTGACGTAGGTATGTGGGGGTGTGTTAGAACGAGCCGTTTTAGGTAGGCGTGGTTGACTCTTAACTTTTATAAAGAATATCTCTTTGGATTTGAGACTTTAGTCTTTGCAACTTTACAGATCTTCTTTATGCACCAAGAGCTTGTAACACTCCAAAGAGAAAGGAAAAATTGAAATCGCATCATATGACCCCTTTAAATGAATAGTTTACGCAAAAATGAACTGTTTTTGTAATGTTGCAGAGCCAAATCCTCCTCAGAATCTTACAGTGACAGCTGTCACATCCAATCAAATTGCATTGTGTTGGACTGCTCCTGATTCTACCCATAACGCTCAGTTTGAGCACTTCATCTTGCACTGGGCGGATCTAGCCTCTGGCAGAGGCCATGCCATTCGCTTGGACAAGATGAATCAGAGCGCTGTGATTGGAGGGTTGAAGGCGTGTCATGCTCACAGGATCACAGTTTTGTCTGTCACAGCTCAAGGTGTGGAAAGCTCTAACAGTATGTCCGTGACTGTTATCACAGGTATATTTTGCAACACATTAAGTGTGTAGGAGATATTGAGGGGTGAAATCACTTTTGTGTGCAGTATTTCTGTCCAAAGCCATATTTCTTGTCAACATCCCAGCTAATAGGAAATGTTTTCAGAACTGGCAAACGATATTGCAGTAATGGAACATTTGTTCAAAGTATCTGGTCTCTAATAATGTTCTCTAAACATCAGCACAAAAATATTATTAATTGATCATTCATGGAACACTTTTTCCTGAAACGTTTTAGTTGGAAGTTTGTTTAATATTTTACTTTTTAAATTTTTTTTTACTACTTTTATTAGTAAAAGTAACTTGTTTAAAATATTTCTTCTTGTTCAGAGAACGTTCAAAAGTAACATTTCCATAATGTTTGCAAAATGATGAAATGGAATGTTCCCTTAATGTTCCAAAGTTTGCATAACAGTGAAAAAACATTTTTAAAAAACTGGACGTTCTGTCCAGAGAAAATTCAGAAATAATGTTTTTATAACTTAATGGGAATGTAGCAAAACAATCTTAAAACATATTTTTGTTAGCTGGGATACTGTACCTATTTTAATATTTAGAGTACCTTTGTTGTTACCTAATGCTTGCTTAATACTTTATCTAATGTTATTTGATGCAATTAAAAAAATTAATAACATTAATATTAACCCTACATAACACTATTTTAACACTAATATTAAATGTAATCTTTTGCAAAAATCAAACTATCAATTTTTACATGGTACTTTATAATGTTGTGATGCCGTAGTTCACTTGACAAACAATTGATTCGTAGTGTTTTATTTTTAATGTATTTAGAATAGTGTATAGAATTTTAATATTAGCCATTTATCAGAATCAGCCAAAATGTAAATAAAAAAAAAATAAATAATAAAAAAAAAAGAAAGAGAAAAAAGGTGCATCCCTAAATTTGGCAAATTTCAGTTATACCTTTTGCTAATTGCCCATGCACATTATGATCAGCACTAATTTTTCCATCTAATTGGCATAATTATTTATTTAGTTATTTTTAATACTGAATGCGGTGCTAAAACAATGTAGATGCTTATAAAATAAACAGATGCTCTTAAATTCTCCCCTAAATTAGGTTTCAATCATTTGGGTTTTCACTTGCCCGGTTATTGAGATCCACATAGATGTTTTGTGTGTTGATGTGTGTGTGTGTGTGTGTGTGTTTCAGAGGTCAGTCCTCCACGCAGGATCTCAGTTAATGCTGTGGGTCTGGAGAACATGACTGTGTGCTGGTGGCCTTCACTGGACGAGGAGTTGATGAATATTACATCCGGCTCCGCCCACAAACAAATCAGGCTCAAACTAGAGAATTCTGGATAAATGGCTCCACATGCATCTCTCTAATTACAGCTCAAACCAGGTGGGACATATGAAGTGGGCGTGGCTGCAGTGAAGGGCAGAAACATGAGCGTAGTGACAACCATACAACAGACTCATGATTCGTTTCTGTTTTTATCTTACGTTTCCCCCACTATGCCTCTTTCTCAATCTACAAAATGTATTTTTGATTCTTCTTTCAGAACCTGATAGCATCCAGATAGCTGTCCCATACACAGTTGGCACACACTCTGTGGAGCTCTTTGTGCAGATGCCTAGAAACAGCATTTATGACGGCGTCACCATTACTTACCAGAATAATCGATCCTGGACGCCAGAGTCCAAAGACAGCACCAAACTGTTAGTCAGCGACCTGAGTCCAGGGACGCAGTATGACTTTAATGTGTTTGTGACCAGCAGAGACACAAGCAGTGAAGGTTTTGCTCTGCCACCTGTGAGGACCTGTGAGAAAACATTTAAGTAACTTAAACAAGTACTCAACCAGGCAAAAGTTTGGAAACTTTGGGAAGATTTTTATTTTTTATGTTTTTGAAAAACGTCTCTTATGTTCACCAAGGCTGCATAAGAGACTTCTTACAAACATGTTTAAAAATCTTAATGATTCCAAACTTTGACCGCCAATGTTTGCTCAGTTGAAATACTAGCATAATGAGTATTCTACACTGCACTGTCAATTTTTCATTGACTGTATGCTGTATGATGTAAAAAATAACCCTACACTGTCTCAAGATCAAATTGCAAATTGCATCCAGATATAGTCTTGAAAATAAAAATTATTTAGCATTTTAGTCTAGTTTTGCACAATATGCATATTCAAGTATGCTGTTCCAAACATAGTCATAGAGTCCCTGGGATATAACTAGTGAAGTACTGCATTTGAATGTCTGTTTATTTATTGTCAGCTTTGGCTCCTCCCACTCATGTTCATGCTGGTGTTGTGACTGACAGCTCCATAGAGCTCCTGTGGGATGGGGCTGAGGGGGACGGCCACCATTATGAGGTGCTGTGTACGAACTGCGCTGATACTGTCATGGTACGATCCTGTGTGTGTGTGTGTGAGTACACATCCTGTGTATGATGTCTGTGTTTCTTCTTTTACACACTATAAAATGTTTTGTGTAATATCTAAATTAACTGGTTTTATTACACCAGTGAAACTCATCTTCAAGTGTCAGATCAAGTATCTGAACAAATGTAAATGTTGACCTCATACAGGGCAGCATTTGATGAAAGAAATAGATTTCCTGATGCCATTCCACCATCACTGGGATCACCATTATTATTTTAATGAAGCTAAAGTGAAAGTCAACACGAAGTCAACATTTTATGCTGTCCTTAAATAATAGATACTCAAATGAGGGGGAAATAGTTTGTTTACTACTTTGTTGTGTGTGTGTGTGTCTTTGTAGGTGCAGAAGGTAGTGGGCACTAGAGCAGTTTTTAGGGACGTGATTGCAGGAAAGCTATGCAACTTTTCAGTCCGAACCGAGAAAGAGTTTTTCAGAGACAGTCCAGCCGTGATTGTCACCATCAGAGCTGGTATACATTCACACAATCTCAACTACTTACTCAGGTTTTATTTTATTTTATAAAAAAAATAAATAAGAAATAATACTTTTATTTACTGATTATGTGACAGTGAAAAAAATGAAATCTTTTTTTTTTTTAAATGCTGATCTTTTGAACTACATTGATACATTGAAAAATCCTGGGGAAAAAAAAGACCATTTCCACAAAAATATTAAGCGTCACAACTGTTTTCAACATTGATAATAATCAGAAATGTTTCTTGAGCAACAAATCAGCATATTAGAATGATTTCTGAAGGATCATGTGACACTGAAGACTGGAGTAAATACCCATTACTTTTCAATTCGTTGTTTAAGAGCAAACAACGTGGGCTTACGTGCTGATAGAAAAATGAAAACAAAATTTCCATTGATTTTCTGGAAATCACAGTTTCGTGTGTTTCATGACCACAGGAACCTGTTATAACTTGTAAACGATAACTTTGCGTTTAATTAAGTTGAGTCTTTTTGTAGCTTCCAGTCCGGTCACCTTGTTGCCAGTGCAGAGGACATCAGCGTCTCTCAGCGTGCGCTGGAGGGCCGGCCGGGGGGTCTGTGACTCATTCATCCTGTCCATCAGAAACTCAACCTTTATCCTGCAGACCAGTCAAAGTGCGTCTGAAGACAGGTGCGGATTTAGATCAGTTATCTGCCCTGAAGATTCCTTCTTTATGTGAGAGAGGTTTGAACTGTGGTTTTCTCTCTTTTTAGAACATATGGCTTTGACAACCTGTTGCCTGGAAGTGTGTATACTGTTGAAGTGAGCAGTGTTAGCGGAGACAGGCGAAGTTTACCTGCTGCTGCAACTGTTAACACACGTGAGTGTTACTAGACTTATACATCGGTACTAAACATATTTACTCACACAAATCCACATATTAGCTCTGTTCCAGAACCTATTGCCTTGCTGAATTGCCTACATAGACAGCAGCCTTCTAAGGCAGAATGCTAGCTGAAGTCGAACCTTATAAATGACTCATTTGGAACACTCCTCTTGGGTAGCAACTCCATTAGCATCTACTTATACACGCCAAACAAACAGTGCTCTTCATGTGAAGCCAGTTCAGTAGAGTTTAATGTTAGCATGCCACTAAATTAACTCAGTACTACGGTAAACATACAAATATGTTCAAACATTGAGTAAAATAATCAATTTTAATTTCCCTGATATGTCTATGAGTAGTTTAGGTATTGAATAAAATGTTCAAAGGTTTAAAATTGTTACGAAGTTGTAATGTTTTTTAATGCTCACCAAAGCTGCATTTATTTGATAAAAATACAGCAAAAACGGTAATGTTGTGAAATATTGCAATTTAAAATAACTATTTTCTATTTAAATATATAATCTATTTTTTATTCCTGTGATGGCAAAGCTGAATTTTCAGCATCATTATTCCAGTCTTTAATAACTTTTTTTTTAAAATTATTATCAGTGTTGAAAACAGTTGTGCTGCCTAATATTAACAAACAGCATATATTTGAAGTAGACTGTAACTTTGGATCAATTAAATGCATCCTTGCTGATTAAAAGTATTAATTTCTTAAAATAAAAATCAACATTTCTCTCCACTGAGCTTATTGCAATGCATTCTGGGATTGGGTTCCCTGTGAAAGATATGTGTTGCACTTGAATTGAATCTTGATAAAATATAGAGACATGAAGATGGACACTTTTTTATTTAAGACCATGTTATAGACAAACTTCCTGACATCCTATTTAGTTTAAATTATGCTGTGTGATTTTGGAGCAGCCTGAGATATGTCTTAAATGCTGTCTATGCAGGCAGCTCACTTGAATTTGGAACACAGCTGTAAACTCCCACACATGCGCTCAAAATTGTCTTTTTATACTTCAGTTCCAGAACCTCCTGACGACCTCACTTTCATTGAACAGGAAGTGAGCAGCATGTATGTGATGTGGACACACCCACCGGGCAACGTGGATGGTTACAGGGTAGGGTGGCTTTCTGATTATCCAATCAGCATCGAGATCCACATACTGTAGGGATTTGGTTGCACGTGATAGTGTATAGGTGATGTTTGAATAGACCAGAAGGTTGAAGCAGTTATGTGGAATGAGTTATTATAAGTTTGTGTGTATTGTAAGCATGACTAGACTAGTGTTAAGGCCTTTGCACACCTGTTAAAACTTTCATACTGACCGTCTCAGCTGAAATGTAGCCTAGCAACACCCTGTAGCCCTGTGTGCTTGGGTTTCTGCCTTTCTCATAATACATGAGCGCCGATCCTTCATTATACCTCACAAAGACAAGGAAGGTATTTGAGCGTATGATGTAAAGATGCTTTTTGTGCAATGTAAAGTCCTCTGGAATAACCTGGGCTAAAGTCACTTTTCCAAGGGCAGTGGTAATGATCTTCCCACTTCCATTGTCACCCCTATTCTAGATTGGCCTTGCCAGCATCTCAGATCTTTATTGACTGAGCTACTAACACCATTTTTTTTTTTACATTTGTTTTTTTCATTTTATGCAAACTACTTTCAAAAACATGAACAAATCTTACCAACCCCAAACCTTTGAATAGAAGTCTCTTATGCTCACAAAAGCTGTTCAAAAATACAGTAAAAACAGAAATATTGTGAAATATTATTACAATTTAAAAGAACTGTTTTCTATTTTAATATATTTTAAAATATAATTTATTCCTGTGATGCAACGCTGAATTTTCATCATCAGTACTGCAGTCTTCAGCGTCACATGATCCTTCAGAAATCATTCTAATATGCTGATTTGCTGCTCAGTAACATTACTTATGGACTTTTTTTCACATTTCCGGGTTTCTCAGCAGCGGAAGTCGTCATAGTTGGGTAAACTTCTATAGTGGTGAATGGGAGACTACCACAAATATATTTTTTGCATTCTCATTTGCTCAAATAGCAAAAGAAAAAATCCACTATAGTGTTTTCACGACTTTCCAAAAAAAAGAAGAAAAAAATTGAGAGAGACGAGGTCAAATTTACCGTCCCTCCCATAGATGCTGTATTAGAAACACCCTCGCATTAGCATTAACTAGTTTTTTGTAATTTGATGCAAAGGTAATATAATACAAAGTATAGTGTTATAAATGTACATACATTTGAAAAAAAATGAAAATATAAAAATGCTGATGACCGTTGAAATGCGTCATCACAGTCTTGTGAAAAGGGTCCATTATTATCAATTTTGGAAACAGTTGTGCTGCTTCATATTTTTGTGGAAACTGTGATAAAAAAATTTTCAGGATTCTTTGATGAATAGAAAGTTCAAAAGAACTGCATTCATTTAAAAGAGAAATCTTTTGTAACATTTTAAATGTCTTTGCTGTCACTTCTGGTCAGTTTAATGCGTTCTTGCTTATTTTATTTCTATTGCTTCCTTGCTTTCTTCTCATTCGATCCTCTTTAGCTTCAATATGGCTTTGCGGGTGACCTCCCTCTGCAGCACCAGGTTAATCTCCATGGCAACAGTGTCAGGATTCATGACCTGACCCCAGGAAGTGATTACAAGTTTGAGATCCAGTCCTTCCTGGGGTCAGATTTCAGCCAGACCACATCCCACAGCATCTCAACTAGTAAGAATCTCCCAGTCATTATTTCTGAAGCAATGGCTCTTGATTTTTTTCTTAGTGATGCTTTCTACTTTTGGTCTCATTAACAAATACAGATAGAAAATACAATATACAAAAACATATTAACAATTAAGATCATTCTTGATGTTTTTCTCAACTAATTTTTTTTATTCCAGGGCCGGCAGGTGTATGTTCACGCTCCGTGTCTCACATCAACGGGACATTCACCACAGTGTCATGGGCACCAGCCACTGGGCATTTAGATTTTTATAGAGTGACGGTCAGTAACAGCTCTCACATCTGGACATTAGATGTAAGTCCACACTTGCAGGAGGTCACTGTCAGCGGCCTGTGGAACGGCTGCTCCTACAACACCACTGTCCAACGATTCAGAAGCAACATCAGTGAAACCGCCGCCACAGTCACCATACATACATGTTAGACTGTTACTCACAATGCACTTTGCACAATTAAAGGTACTAATTCCTGTAAAACAGTTTAGAACAGTTTGTATTGTCAATTAAAGGTTGAATTGAACAAGCTGAATCAATTTGAATTGATCTCAGTTCATTGAATTGAGCAAATCCAAAATGAATTGAACTGAACTGAACTGTATTGCACCAAATTGAACCTTAACTGTAAATAAAATTTAAATTCAGTGAATTGAACCAGGGTTATTTTAGCATCATTAATATACTATTATAGTGTAGTTATTATAAGTTTTGTTTTTATGTTATTTTAAGTACCGAACATTTTATTTTATTTTTTTTGTTAACAATAATAACCCTGGATTTAACTGAAAGGAATTATACCGTTAAATTCAAATAAGTTAAGTTTGGTTTGGTTCAACTGCTTTGAATTGAACTGAACCAATCCAAACGGAATCAAATTGAATTGAACCAAACTGAAATGAATCAAATCCATTTATTAATATATTTGTCACGTTTCATTGTTTATCATTTTTATTTTTTTCTATTCTAACATTTTTACGGTTTAATTTTAAACTATTTTAGTGTTAATTTCATTGCTTGTATTTTTTTTGTCAGTTGCTTGTTTACACTTAAGTGAAACTGAACCGATCTGAACCTGAATGAACTGAAATAACTTTCATTTGACCAAGCTGTACTGAACTGAATGGAATTCTTAGCATATGGCTGCCTATAAAATATACTTCTGAATGAACTGAAATAACTTTCATTTGACAAAGCTGTACTGAAATAACTTTCATTTGACCAAGCTGTACTGAACTGAATGGAATTCTTAGCATATGGCTGCCTATAAAATATACTGTATGTATGTGTTTGCATGTTTTTTTTTTATTGTGCAAAACTGAAATCTGTGTGTTTCAGTCCCTGCCAGTCCTGAGGGGTTGCGAGTGATAAGCGTGTCACCTCGTGCTTTCTCACTCCACTGGTTGGCATCACCTGGATGTGATAAGAACTACCTGGTCCAACTGCGTCCTGACCACGGCAATATCAACATCACCACCACAGCAGACAGCGGAGTCCAGGTACACTCTCCCACACACGCACACACACGCCCTGAGTCACTGCTCTCCTGCAGCCGTATGCCAGGTGTCAGGTAAAAGAGTATCTGTGTCAGCTGGGTGGAGTGTGTGGAGGAAGGTTGGAGAACAAGAGTGAAAGAGAGAGAGAAGACCGTTAATAATAGGTTTACCAGTGGTGGAGGACTAGTTTGTTTCTGATCATTGACATACCACCGATTAGTTAGCCCGTTCACCTATCCAGCAGCTCTCTCTTAGTGAGGGGCCATCATGCCATCCTGTCTGCCCCTGCTGGTTATCCTGTACGCGGGCCTCAGTAACGTTCAGGTAGGCTTTAATTGCATATTTGCATTGCATGGGTTTTGCATTACATGACATGCATTACGCAGGCTTTTTAACCATGTACCAAATTAAATAGTCAGGTTGTGCCATTCAGAATTATATTGAAATTGAATCTGAAATGATGTATGTTGTAAAAAAAAAAATTTTTTGAAGTTCTAAATAAAACAGATTATTTGAGTACATTTTACAAGAAAATACTATTTTAGCTATTCTAACCTCAGAATTTCACATTTAATTCAATATGTTACTTGCCATTTCTTTGTAATAATTTGTGAAATGTACTAGCAATTATTGAATGAAACTTGTTTCAAAGTAAATTCTACACCATTTTTTCCAGTGTAGCAAACATAATTGTTTAAATAAATAAATTAAAATGGATGGTTGTAATCAATCAAATGCCACCTATAGAATTTTTTTTATTTATATTTGATTATATTTACTCAATTTAATTTATATTAACATCAAGGAAATTAGAGACTCATTTCCCAGAATTTAATTTACCCTGAAGCTTTTAAAATGGAGCATTTTATTTTATTTTATTTTAGAATTTTTATTTTTATTTGAATTGCAATTCAGTAAATTCATCTTCCTATCATTCTAATTCAAATTCCAGTTGAACGTCGTCCAGGGTGTTTCAAATGAATTTCAATGACATGAAATGAATGATTTCAAATGAAAATTCCAACTCAGGAACTTAAAAATGACAATTTTGTAAATTCCTGCAAGATTTTCTGCAACCCTGCAAGATTGATTTCTTCTTCTAAAACACACAGACTGTGTTCTGTGAGCTGGTGAGATGGTGAGACACACAACATTAGAGGAATTCTTGAACTGGCTTGCATTTCTTAGAATGAAGGAACACAACAATACTGGCACATAAACAAAGACTTGAGTGTGTGATAAATATCACTGTGAATTGACTGGCTTGTGCAGGACTGTGTGTTTGGACAGCATTGCCATTTGACATTTTATTCTCTGAGGCATTAATATGTAGAGCGTTCATAAATGTTGCCATCACCAATCAAAAATTTATTTTTAAATCCAGATGCTTTCTGCCAATTTTCTGCATCATTTTCCATTGCCATTTACATACACCTGTGTGAACGTGAAAGTAACTTTCTTTGGGATCTTGGGACCAGCTACATTGCAAAATGGCTCAGAATAGTGAAATAAGTTTCACATACTGTCATATTTGCAGTGAAATTCATAGAAGTGTGGCTTATGCATATATACAAGTTATGTAATGCATGTAAGTTTTTGCAATCTTATCTTGTTTTACTGGTGTTGTGCAGGCTATTTTATCCTCAGATCTGATAAGACTATTGTCTTTCTGGAACAAGTGGTGTGACATCACGTACGGTAATTTAGCCTGCCGCTGTTACATTACTCAACAAACCTTGTGTTTGTGAACATGTGACAGAAGACCACAAAAGATGCTTTTGTTTTATGATATTTTGTGAGCAAATGGTTTCTGATGAAAGCATTGCCAGTAATGCACATCATTTGAGGTGCATGCAAACTCCAGAAGTTTCGCTCTCAAAAAGTGTGTTTGTGGGAGTGTCTGAGGTGCATGTATTATTAATGGGTTCTAGATGTTTTTAAGGCGGTTTGATGCATGATGGTATTTTGGGGGAATATTGCAATGTGTTTGATTAATGTGAGCCATTGTCTTCAGTCAGGCATAGCCAGTGCTATTAGAATCACATTCATATACCCGATCACATTCAAAGTGTGGTTTGTTGATTATCTTGTGCTGACATTTTGATTTTACCTGAGGTTTATTGTATAGTATATTACGCTTTGGTCTTCTCAGAAGAGACGTGACTCAGCAAGCTTTGTCATGCATTGAAAATGAGCCTTTACTGACTATATTATTTGAAAAATGATACTCCATTCAATAATATAAAATGCAGTAACTAAATCAAAATAAGCTTTTTTTATTTCTTGAAAACAAATGTATTTTTTTTTAAAACCCTGACCTTTAAGGTGCAAAACAACTCCTTCAACAAAACACATAACAACATAAGATAAGATTGCACAGGTCAGGTGCATATTTGTTTGGCATGGGTTTTGCATTACATGACATGCATTATGCAGGGTCTTTTAACAATATAAATACTAATTAAATACCAAATTGAATACTTGAGATGAGCAGGGTTGTGTGCAATTTAAAATTAAAATGGAATATTGTAATCAATGTTTGAAATGTCACCTATTAATTTTTTTATAGATTTAATATAGCCTATCATAAAAACTTCTTGTAAATATTTATTAACATTTGTACATAATTGCTAATCAGACTTTTGTCTTTTGTTTTTGGCTTTATATTATTTTTCACAAATGAAGCATTAACACAAACGAATCTTCTATGATGTCATCATTGTCACCTCAAAATGTGTCAGATTTAAGTATTTTTTAAAAAGTGCAAACCAATACAGTGCCATTTCATATGATCTAATATCTAATGTATAAAGTTGTTATAGAAAAATCTATGCAATTTATGTCTTTTAAAACTTTTTCATGACTGAAACATCAAAGGACGTATCTGTCACCATGTTGTGTTGGTTGTAGACGTGTACCCTGTATATGTATTGTGTATGTTCTGTGTTTTAGGCTCAAGTGTCCGGTGTAACCCCTGGAACATCATACACTGTGACTGTCAATGCGGTGGCTTCGTCAGGGTTCAGCTCACCTGTCAGCCGAATACTCGTCACCACTAATGAGTCCTGTAAGTCTGTGTGTTCCACTCTTAAACCACTATCCTCTTTAAATAAAAATTATGATTTCCTTGCATTATTTATGTGTATCTCCCCATAGCCCCTATATATTCCTCTAGACTTCCTCCTGAAATTTGTACCTGTTTTTGCTTAAGTAAAAATCATTAAATTATTTTCATAGACAAACAACACTCTTTAAAATAAAGGTTCCAAATGATTACCATTATGGTTTTCCCAAAGCACCTTTCAGTGAACGGTTCTTAAAAGAACCATTTTTTCTTAGTGTGAAGAACATTTTAATACTCTAGGAAACTTTTTGCACTATAAAGTACAATTGAAAGTTTCCATGGATGTTAAAAGTTCTTCATGGAACCACAGAGACCAATTAAAGTAACTACAAATGTAAGGCTGAAAATGCTATATTAGTTTTCTTTGCAGTACTATTAAGTACCATGTAAATACCATGGTACATGAATACACAACAATCATGCAGTACCATGTTATACATAAAGTACCATCTGATATCATCTCTGTACTACTGTATTGTCTTGTAAGAGTAGAACCAGTGATGAAAACCCTTTGAGATGTTGTACATGAATCCATGCATTTTGTTCCATTTGAAATGTGTATGTGTGTGTCTGTGTATATTTATGTTTGCATAATTGATGCTGATTCCAGTTAGCAGGCTTTGATCAGTCGGTATCAGATTCCCAGGGTGTTGGTTGCTCGTCCCTCTGAGAAAGGCATGATCGGGTCACGCTTTCTGATGGCTTTATATTGTTATTCTCCTAAATGGCTAACACCTCCACAACAACGGATAGCTGTTAGTGAGCCAAACGCCTTCTGAAAGACCTCTAAATTTGATAACGACCCGGATGATACAAAATCTAGGTCAAAGCAACAATATCCGTCCTGCTTCATTGCAGAAGAAGAGGATATAATAGTTTAGGGTATCAGACCGAATCAGACAATTTAAGATTTGATAAAGAACAGTTGAAACACGAGGAGCCGAATTCCACAGAGGCCCAAGACACAGGATGTTCGTAAATAAGATACTG